AAGTCTTAAAGTGGCCAAGGTTGGACACCCCTGCTCTAAATCCATCCATCCACCCTTAGAAAGGCCCCCTGGAGGGAGGGGGCAGAAGGCAAGGCTCGAAGGGACAAGGAAAGCAGCCAGGGCAGGGGGATTGGCAAGGGGAACCAGGCAGCGGGGGAAAAAAAAGGGGCCCCATTTTGACTTCTCCAATATCGGAGCCCTTCCGGAACATTCTGGGACATCAGAGCCAACCCAGGACAACTCGCCACAGGGCAAACTCGCCGAGAGACCATTCAACAAATTCGGTTTCATGCTTTAAAACAGTTTTTAAAAAATCACTTTAATCTTTTTTTTTTTTCCCCCTTCCCATTTCATTTTCTCCCTCCTTTTGACCTCCCTTCCTTTCGTGATTTTATTCCTCTCTTTCTTCGGTAGTCGTGTTAACTTCTGTCCCGTGGCGAGTGACTTGCCGTAAACCAGAGGTCCCCAAACTTGGCAACTTTAAGTACTTGTGGACTTCAACTCCCAGAATTCTGTGCTGGCTGGAGAATTCTGGGAGTTGAAGTCCACAAGTCTTAAAGTGGCCAAGTTTGGGGACCCCTGCCGTAGACCCACCAGGAGGCCCCCCCAAACCTTTCTGGCCCTCCTGCCAGGCACCAGTTGCCTTCCCACGTGGGCAGGCTCAAGCCTCCACCCCACAGGCCCTCCGAGCCCTCGCCTCAGGAGCCCAAACCAAAAACGCCCAGGAGGGCCGCCCTCTCGGGGTGCCGGGGTCCCAGCCTCCGGGGCCCAGGGCTGCAGCTGTCCCAGGCCCCTTTGGAGGGTGGGGGGCCTCGCAAAAGGGTCCGGGTTTTCACTCCTCTCTCCTCCCCCAGCCCCATTTCCTGTAGGGGCAGAGCAAGCGAAGGTGGATTTTCTGCGCTGGCCTGAGATGCGGCCCTGCCTTGCCCCTTCGGGGGGCTTCCCCTCAGCTTCCCTGGGTTACCCATTCAAGTCCTTTGATCAATTAAAGTGGCGCTCTAATTAAAACGGGGCGGCCGATTTCCCCCACCTCCACCCCGCGCGTTTCATGAAAGGGTTTCGGGAACTCCAGGTGGCCTTTTGCAAAGCCAGCAAGGGGGGGAAGGGGGCGAGGGAGGGGGAGGGCGGCACTCCTCTGATGATGCCCTTCCCTGATCCCAAGGCACAAAGGAAGAAAATGCTTTTACTCTCAAACTGTTGCCCAAACTGGGACCTTGGCATGCAAATCCCGCCGCCAACCCCACAGATTGATGTAACCGACAAGGAATTTAAAAAAAACAAACCCACCTTTTATTTATTTCTCAAATTGGCAGCCCTCCCCTCCCCAGTTATTTATTCCACGGCTTATATATGGGCTAAACCCTTTCACTGCAGTAAGCGGATAGGAAAGGGCAGCTATTGGCAATCAAATCTAGCACCCCCGTAAAGTTAAATGGATGGGCCTGCCCCCTAAACAGAAAGCGACCTGCAAGTAAGGGCCATGCCTGCCACCTTGGGGACAAAAGCAGCAAAAGGCTGTAAAGGCCTCGGAGACTGGGACTCTTTGCTTGGCCTTGAAATGGGGGGGGTCGGAGGGAGGGAGGCAGCAGCGAGAACAACTTTCTGGGGTGCCACACGCTCTACGTTTGCCCCCCGCCCCACAAAGGCTGCAAGCAGCGTCTCTGCCCCGAGCCAGCAGAGATCGGACTCGGGGGCTCCTGGATAGTCCCATGGGGTGGTAGGGGTCTCATCCATTCATGGAAGCAGCAGCCCTTTGGTGCCTCCAAGAAGCAGCGGGAGCCGCAGACGAGTGAGCCCCTACAGGTGCTCTGAGCCCAGGCTCTGGAGCAGGTTGTCAGAATGTTCATGAACTGGCAGAGACATGGTTAACAAGGTCAGCCAATGGGAGCTGAATTGGGGGCGGGGACTGGGAGGAATCTAGGCGTGGTTTCTCTCTGCTCCGTGCTCAGCTCTGAGGAAACTGAAACTTGCTTGCTTGCCTGCTGAACTAAAGTGAAACCATTTTGCTTCTCTGCTTGTGTTTTGCCTGTAACTTTCTCCCAGTTGGAAGAATCTACAATTGGTATTGTAAACTTTACTTAGCATGTTATTACGTATATAAAGAAGTGAATGAATCCTGCTGAATCAGCCATCTGTGTGTTTTCTGAATTTGAAATTCTAACACAGGTGGGCTCAGGACCCCCACACCTGCCGCTTTGTCGACCGAGAGGGCGCTCAGGGGTGCCCTTGGCCCCTTCCACAAGAGTCCCCCCTTGCCCCCCCCTCCCCCAGGGACCAGAACGAGTGTGTCACTGACCTCGGACATCTGGGGGAAGAGGCTGATGGCCAAAGGCAGGGCAAGGCCGAAGGCGGCAAGGCACACGAGGCTTTGGACTGGGAGAAGCAGCCGAGGTCGGGAGCGCAGAAAAGCCGTCCTGGAAGACAAGACAGATGTCACCGTCAGACAGAGAAGCCCACAGGGACCCCCTTCCCTGCCCCCACTCACAGCCCCCCTAGAAGACACTGCAATTTAGCCCCCAAGGGGCCTGCGGTGGAGGAGAGGCCGTCTGCAGAAGGGACTCTCTCTTGGGCGAGGGTCTGGCCCTCGTCACCCACCCTGGCCAGAAAAGGCCCCGATCGCCTGTCTTTGCTAGCCAGCCAACCAGCCAGCCTCTCTCCTCTTCAAGGACCCACGATGGGCAAACCAGGAAGCTGGATGAGTTTCTGGAAGACTTCCTTTGCCCCCAGTGGAGTTGAAGGAGGGAGGCAATGACGGCTGCCCCTCTGGACCCCTTTAAGAGGGGATGGACAAGACAGCAAAGGCTCCCAGTGACCCCTTCCCGGCTCTAAAGGACCCTTGACAATTGCCCCCCTTGCGCCCAGAGGGCGGGAGCAGCACCGAGGGCACCCGGTTCTTCTGAAGTGTTGCTGCCCCCTCCCTGCCCGGGCGGCCTTCTCTTCCCCTCCCTCGTCCTCCATCCCTGAGACCTTTGGCAAAGGGTTCATCACCTCCCTAGTTGGGCAATACACTGAGACGCTGGCCTTGCCAAGGGGCCACCATGTCTAAGGGCCCCGGAGAAACCAGAGCCATGGAGGCAGGGCAGGAGGACATAGGCGGTCGCCCCTCCCTTCAGGGACATCCCTTCCTTCTGCCGGCAACCGGGTTTTTCTCCTCTCAGGGTAACCCATCCCCTGTCTGTGTACCTGATGCAGGTGGCCGGTGTCCCTTGGAAATTCTACCCAGCACCCTCGCCACCAAAGCTGACAGCCCACTGGAGCCCAAGCAGGACACGCCTGGCCTCTCTGGGATGCCGCCTCTTTTCCCCAGGCCACACCCCCCATTTCCTTTTGGGGGGGGGCTGCTGCCACTTAATTGAAGCCGTTGGGCCCCCCCCCCCCCCCCCCCCCCCCCCCGTGCATTTCTACAGGGAACAGAACCAATTTAGAGAGCCTTGCCTTGGTGAGGCTTGGCTCCCAGGTGTGACTTCCACCCTGGGTGTTTTAAACTCAGACCAATTCAGATCGCAATGGCTATGGGCCTCCTAATTAGAAGGCGTTTTATGGCCCGGATTAAAGAAAAAGCCTTAATTATCACATCAAGTGTAATGTCTTAATTGGGACTTAGATCTCCGCGTTGGCAAAGTTCAGACAAAATGACTCACAATTAGCCAAGAGGGAGGCTCACACACACACACACACACCCAGCCTTCAGTTCCCGGCTCTTAAAAACCGCAGCAAGCCGCGGATGCTGCCTGCAAGGGTGCCACCCTGATCCTGCACACCAGCCAGGGCAAGCCTTGCCCCCCCCCCCCCCCCCGGCCTCTGCCCCCCCCAACCCCCCCCCCCCCGCTTTCTTTGCCAGGCGAAAGAGCCGGTCAGCTTTGGAGGTCAGCTTTGGAGGGAGGCTGTGAGAAGCCCAAGGGGGAATCCGGTGGAGCTACGGCCGTTTTCATTATCTAGGGAGGTTCTCCATCATCCAGCTCAGGGTTGTTCCAAAGGCAGGTGGACTTCCTTGGGTTCCCCCCCCCCCCTTGAAGACGCTTTGCTTCTCATCCAGGGACCTTCTTCAGTTCAGTTTTTCTCCAGAACTGAAGAATCTTCTTGGATGAGAAGCGAAGCGTCTTCAAGGGGAAAAAAAAAAAAAAACCAAGGAAGTCCACCTGACTTTTGGAAAAAGCACCTTGTCAGAGTATATTTGTGAACTGGGACAGAGCTAAGTAACAAAGTCGGTCAACGAATAGGCGTGGCAACGGACCAGCCAATGAGAGCTGAACTGGAAAGTGAAACTAGATCTCTATTTACATTAACAGCATGGTGTCATTAATAATACATATATTTGCATTTATTCCTACACATTAATTCTTCTTTCTGTGTTCTACCCATTTATACCACCTATCCCAAACCGCATAATATTCTTGCCTTTTAATTCCACTGTGAATTTATCCACAGAGATTCGTAATTTAAAAAAAATTAAATTAATTTTTTTTTTAAAAAAAAGGAAAGTGAAACTAGAAGCGGCCTAGGTGTGGCTCTGGTCTCTGCTCTCAGCTCTGAAGCTGCTGCTTGTGTTTTGCTTGTGTTACGTCAGAAGAATCTACTATTGGTATTGTACATTTTACTCGTATTATGATGTATATAAAGAAATTAATGAATCCTGCTTGCTGAATCAGACATTTATATGTGTGCTTTCTGGATTTGAATTTCTGCTGCAAAATCTGACACACCTTTGGAGCATTCTCATTGCAGCCGGTCACAAAGCCAGGGTTAGAAATTACTGGATGCCGTTAACTTCAGGGAGGCTCCTGGAAGCTCAGCTTGAGCAAAATAGAAGTTGCGGTCCTTCTGTGAGGCAGGCTACTCTGACCCAAGCCTCGTTCAAATCAAACAAACACAAAGTATATATAAAAGCAAAGCTTTTTTTAATGCTTCTCTGTGAATTCTGTTCATTCGCAGCAAAGAGTCATTAAAACTAATTGTCCCAGACTTCCGGTTTGAGTTCCTTCGGCGATAGACAGAAATCCGCGATCGTGCATGGTTTCGGTCCAGGCTCGCCGCTGGAGCGCCCCGAGCCGGCTGGTTTCGGGGCTAAGCCACCCCATAGAGGTGGTGAAGAGGGGGGAGACTGCCAGCAGGGTTGAGGAGAGCCGCATCTCTCCTCCTCAGCTGGCCATTACTCCCTTTCCTGAAGGTGGTTGCAGCGGTGGTCAGAAATGGCCACCACAAAGAAGAACTCGACCAGAAAAGAATGTGCAGGAGGAAGATAAGAAGTGAAAGTTTTGGCTGACCGGGTTAAATTACAAAAGCAACAACTAAGGTACCCTGGAATTTAAACTTACAAAAAAATAACATCGCTCCCAAAGAAGAGTCGGAAGCAGAGAAGGAAAGTGAAAAGGGAAAGGTTTGGGTTTTTTTTTTCTTCTCTCTCTTTCCCTATACTGACAACTAAGAGACTTAAATAAGAAATCGGAAAAATCCGTTTTGACATCAATAGGCAATTAAGCTGAAAATAAAACAAAATGTCAAAAGGGATAATAAAGATTTCTGGACACTAAATTTTTTTTTCATAAGCAGGAAAGGAGAGAAAAAGAATAAAAGGGCTGGAAAGAGGGAGGAGACTGCCTGGAATTAAAAAGAATCTACAGTAAAACTTCAACAAGACTTCTAAAAGATACATTTTAACTGAAACTTTGCAACTAAATAGTAGAACCCCAGGAAGAGAAAGTGAAAAAAAGAGCAAAAAGAAACAGCTTGCATGTATTTGGATTACTTGGTGATCTTTGGATTCTTGGTTATTGCATTTGAATGACTAAAATTAATTGGGTGGTTGTTTAAAAATTTATACAATAGCACTACTTCTGGATGAATTGAAAATGGAACTTAAAAAGTATAAAGAAGATGCACAAGAAGGGAAGGGTTCTTTTGGCTTCGTTTTTCAATTCTTAGAAATGGAGATTTAGAACTATGAGAAACAACAAGAAAAGACTGCAAAACAAGAAGACTGGGACAAAGAAGAAGCCATCTTTAATGAACAAGTAATTCTATGTGGGGAAGAAAAAGGAAAGGGGGGAAAGAGAATGGAGAATTTAAGACTTAAAAAAAAACAAAAAAAAAGAAAAATAATTCAAAAAATAAGTATAATACTGGAAAGCAACAGAAGAGGGGAATACAGAAGAGAGAAATAGAGGTAGAGAGACAAGGGGGTAAAAAGGGGAGAGAGAAGAAGAGAGGGAAGAAGGAAAGGATAAGAAGTTATAAAGGACCAGAACAAGATATAGAGAAACAGGACCTATTTAGAGATAATGGGTGAAAATTTAACTGAAAAAGGGATTCTGTAAAGGTACATAAGATTGTATTGTTATATTAGTAATAGAAATAACGTTAGAAAATTGGAAACAATGTATGATTAAAATGAGGGATAAAATAGTTAGTGTAATTTAGTGAAATGTTTGTTAATAAAATAAGTGAAATAAAATAAATGAGATAATTGAATTAGGAAGGGACGGGAACATTTTAATTATGGAAAGCTTATAATTGTTCCCATAGAAGTATGATATTTAATTGAAAAGTAATGTTAAAGAAGTTAAGACTTTTATGAATATTAGTATTAATGATAGAATTGAATTGGAATGGAATGTGTTGTTTTAATTACATATACTTATATATTTTTCTTTTTTAAAGAATATAGTGTGTATTTTAAGAATGTACCAAGCAGAATCCGAATGGAAGTTATGTATTATATTGAATGTTATAACTTTAGGGTATATATTGAAGCCTAAATAAGAGTTAAATGGATAAACTTAAAAGATATAAAGGCGTCATACTCCAATCAGTAACTACAGGAGAAACTTTGTTTAATGAGAAAAGATAATAGATAATTGAAACAGGACAGACAAAAAATATAAATATAATGATTTGAATTGAGACGAGATAATTAAAATAAAATTGAGAAAATTAAAAGAGGGGAGAAGCTATGCAGAAAATGTAAAACAGTAATAAGATATGGAATAGAACATAAAAATGAGCATGAAATTGAATTTGTGTCTGTACAAAGAAATGTAACCCAGGATTATGCTATTTTCAAAAAAGATGTTTTATTTGTATTTTTTTTGTGAAAACTCAAATAAAATTTACAAAAAAAGAACAACTAATTGTCCCAGATAAGAGCAAGCCCTTTCAAGGTTGCGAAAGGCTGCCAAGAACACAAGAGTAATTGCAGAGAAATATCCAAAGCCAGGAGTCTCCGAAAACAAACCAGAATAAACAGGACTCCCACGAGAACTTTGAGTTGAAAGAACTTCTTTTCTTCCTGCAAAGAAGCCAACCCCAAAGGCTGGCTTTTATCCCTTATGGGAGGAGCCATCACCTTGCAGTCTTACTCCCAAATCGCCCGTGCTGCTTCAGCTGCTCTTTCCTTCGAGCAGACCTGCACGCACGCACACTGGGCACAGGCACCTTTCCTTCGTCACTGCTGCCAGACTCCACAAGCTCCGAAGGCAGCACCCCACTCTCCAATAGTCCTGGCTCCTTCGCTGCATCACACACAGGCCCCTCATCCGAGTCCTCACTATCAGAGATCTCAGCCGTCCGCACCTGCTGCCGGCGAACCACAACACAGGCGGGCTAAATCTGGTATCACCCTCATCAACCTCGTCTTAGCCACTGTCTACCCACCACAGTATGAAGGCCTCTTTCCCATGTCTCCAACCAATCCGATATATAAATAAATAAATTACATGGAAGGAAAGCCAAAGTGCCCCGCCTGTAAGGCCCAGGAGCCTCCCCACCCCGTGGGCAAAGGCCCCCCAAAAGGCCACCTGAGGGGCCAATTTAGGCTGATGGTGGAGAAGGCGCCAAACGCTCCCTGCAGGAGCCCCATCTGAACAGTCAGAGGGCATCCAGTGAGGGCAGGAAACAAACCCACTTGAGCACACAGGCATTCCTTGACTTATGACCACAACTGAGCTCAACATTTCTGTTGCTAAGCGAGACAACGGTGAAGTGACTTTTGCCTCACTTTACGACCTTTCTTGCTACAGCTATTTAAGTGAACCTCTGCGGTTGTTAATAACATGCTTGTTAAGGTCGCAAAGGGGGGGTCAGGTGACCCCAGGACGATTGCGACAGTCATAAATACGAGACAGTTGCCGGGGAACCACCTTCCCCGGACAGTCTCCTCGGGAGCAAGGCAGGAGGAGAAGGCAAAGGTTCACGTGCTCCAGCTACCAGCAAAGACAGGAAACCGTGTATGGAACAGTACGGAAAAGGATCCCCGTAAGCCTTAACTCCAGTGTTGGTTGCATGTGCGAATGGCTGCTTTCCCACCGTGCAGAGGCCAGGGGCCCTTCTCTGCCGGGGCCTGGATGGGAGGAGGCTTTCCGGGATCAAGGCCAGCCTGCAGCCCACCCAGGTCAGTGCTCGTCAGCCCACTCCACGCAGACCCTGCAACCTGCTTTAGAGGAAGGGTCTCCAAACTTGGCCACCTTAAGACTCGTGGACTTCCACTCCCAGAATTCCACAGCCAGCCGGAATTCTGGGAGCGGAAGTCCACGAGTCTTAAAGTGGCTAAGGTTGGAGACCCCTTGCTTTGGAGGCCTGGTTTGATGAAAAGGAGAGCAGCTGGCATTGGCCCAAATTTCCTTGGGGTTCCCAGAATACTTTTAAAAGTGGCCCTTAATACTTGGGGGGGGGGGGGGGCACCCGGGGGGGCCACACAGGGGGGGGGGACAGACATAGTGGAAGGGGGGGGGGGTGTCACTGGGCGCCTAGTCCCACCTGAGGGGCTTCTGCTGCTTCTCTGCTAAGAGCGACCAAGTGCCCTTCTTCACAGCAAGGGCCTCTGGGGGCTGGTCCCTCCCCGAAGCCCCTTCCTCTTGTGGCCAGGGGTCTCAGGAGGCAGGAAGCCCCTTCCAAAAGCCCAAGGGTGGGGGGGGGGGGGGGAAAGCCAAGGCCCCCCCCCCGCCCACGAAGGGACCCGGAGAGAAGGATGGTGCAGACGGTGCATCTGTGCTGCAGACACGGCATGTCACCGAGCTTGAATGCGCACCTTCCTTCACGTTTCAGCACATGGCTGATTAGCGGTTCATGTTCTGCATAATGTGGCAGCTGTCGCCGGCATTTTCGGAGGGCCTGCAATGCTTTCCATATGGAAGTTGCTCTCGGGACGCCCAGGCGTTCTCAGGTTCGGTGCTTCAGACCGGCATGTGCCTCGGAGGAGATGGAGGCGCTGAGTGGGCGATAGCCGGGGCTCAGGGCAGGCGCCGAAGCTGGCAGATTCAGGGTGGGACAGGAAGGGCCATGTTTATAGTCAACACGGCTGCCATCGATGTCTCATCGGTTAGAGCATGAAATGGGGAAATGAGGGGCCCTTGGTGTTCTCTGAGCTGGGAGGAGGGTTTCTTGCAGCCATCTCATTATCCAAACTAGGTAACATCATCAGCACTAGAAGGGAGGAGGAGGAGGAAGAGGAGGGGGGAGGAGGAGGAGGGGAAGGAGGAAGGGGATTGTGAGGTCCTTGGTGATCTTTCAGAGGGACGTGGTGGCTCAGTGGCTAAGACGCTGAGCTTGTCGATCAGAAAGGTCGGCAGTTCGGCAATTCGAATCCCTAGCGCCGCGTAACGGAGTGAGCTCCTGTTCCTTGTCCCAGCTTCTGCCAACCTAGCAGTTCGAAAGCGTGTTAAAAAAAATGCAAGTAGAAAAATAGGGGCCCCTTTGGTGGGAAGGGAAGAGCGTTCCGTGCGCCTTATCGGCGTTTAATCATGCTGGTCACATGACCATGGAGACGACTTTGGACAATGCTGGACTCTCTGGCTCTGAAACAGAGACGAGTAGCGCCCCCTAGAGCCAGAAACAACCAGCACGCAGGTGCGAGGGGAACCTTGACCTTGACCTGGTGCTCTCAGAGTTTCGTGGTTTTCGTGCAGATGTTTCATGACCCAAAATTAGGTAAGGTCATCAGTGCTAGCTTGGGTCATGAAACATCTGCAAGAAAACCACCCAGCTCAGAGATCACCAAGGCGCCCCCAGTTCAACCCTGAGCTACAAAGACTCTCCTTGATGGAATGGGGGAAGGCGGGCGTTTCTGGGGTAGCAAAGGGGGCCCTTGTGGGTGTCCCCCACTCCGACTGCTGAGCCCCTGGTCCAGGACAGTCTGCCTCACTCTCCCCCATGCCCTGCTCCAACGAGGAAGGCCCCCTCCCCAACCACAAGGTCCTCAACGCTCAAAGGATGCGAAACCTTCAAGGCCCGCTTGAAACGAGGGATCCCTGTGAACCCCCAAAGCTGCCTGCAAGACGGGGGGAGGGGGTTCTCTTCTCAGCCGCTGCCTTTTCTCCCCTCTGCTGCTGAAGCCACCGTCCTCCAAGGAGTCAATCCAGCTTTAGGGGCTCCCGCAGGGTTCACATAAGCAGCAGCCTCAGGGTCAGAGTTACCCAAGTGTGGATCCTCTTGCTTTACAGGAAGCCCCTCCCCCCTCCCCCCCCCGTTCTCCCCCACCACACACACATCAGGCACATCCTTTGCCTGCAGGAGGCCAAAGGCGCAGGGTGCTGGGGAAGGCAGTATCCCCCCCACCCATGAGGATCGGGCAGTGGGGAGAGGGACTGAGCACCCCACTCTCTTTTCCTGGGAATCTGAGCCAACTACAGCAGCAACAACAGCGGCATTTCCCATCTGCGGATACGGACGGACACACACACCCCTGCACCAAGTGGGGAGCCCAGAATAGGCGCCACTGAGCCCAGCTGGCTGCTTCCCCAGGGAGCCAAAAGGAGACTGGGGAGCGCCCACAGCAGGAGGGGACGGGAAGACTCTTCCTGAGAAGGGGACGGGAGGAAATATCAGGGGTGGGCACACATACTCCGGAGGGAAGGCAGGCCCAGGAAAGAGGGAACGGGGAACGGAGGGGAAGAGACGCAGCAGGTCTGCAGGGCCTCCCCCCTTTCCCGGAGGGTATGCCAAGAGAGGTGTAGGAACCAAGGCAGGCGGGAGGAGCAGGGAATGGAGGAGGCCAGGAACATCCTTGGTCAACCCAACTTTTACTTCCATGATTGAGTTCAGCTGATTCGAAGTTCTATCTTTATTCTTTTCTTTTCCATTTTGTTTCCTTTCTTCCTTTTTTCCTTTCTTCTTCTTTATTTTAGTTTTTTTTTTTTCATTTTTAAAACTTTCAGCAACACTAAGTCAAACTACAATATATAGAGGTTTGATTAACGCAGACTGGGAGAGAACACAGCGGGTGGGCGGGAGGATGACGAAGATCCGTAAGGATGCGGCAGAGCTTCTTTTACTCAGTGTGAACGCCGAAAACTCTTTAATCGCACAATCTACGACAGTCTCCACCACAGTTTCAACTGGGAAAAAAATCTAAAAATGCTAAGGAATTCCTCTTGGCATTCAGACAAATCAGCCATCAACAGACACATAGTGATGAGCCAAATTTACACACTCAAGAGACACAAAAAGGCTTAAGAAGGAGGGGAAAAAAAAAATCAGAACACACATTCTCCAACAGCCAGCACCAAGATAAGCAGGGATCAGCACCAGGCAAACAATATGGGTGGAAAACAACCCCAAAATCAAAGTAACTACCAAGGAGAAAACCACATACCCACCAATACTGCAGTGCAAACCTCTCTCTATATATATAAACAGGGAGCAAACCCCACATTCATTTGCACTGTTTGATGTTACCTAGGAAGGTATTGAAACTTCTTCAGAACAACCAAGCTCAAGGTGCACCAACGGACCCCACAGCTCAACCCTGAGCTACACATGCTGTCTTTCTACTGTTTTTGCTATATTGTACATTTCTCAGACACGCATGGTTCTTTCATCCTTTAGTTTTATGGTTCTGCTTTAATTATAAGCCGGCTGTCCAGAGTTGAGTGGCTTCTAAATTTAATTTAAAAAAACAAAAAACACCAAAACGAAGGAGCTTCTCATCAATTATGCAGATGCCCCAAAAGTGGACGTACCCAAAAGGACGGAATGTGACGGCAACCGGAGTGGCTGGAAGTTGCTGTAATAGCATGTTGCTTTGCATAAGGGCTCCCCAAACTTGGCCACTTTAAGACTTGTGGACTTCAACTCCCAGAATTCTCCAGCCAGTCCACAAGTCTTAAAGTGGCCAAGTTTGGGGACCCCACTGTAGACCCACCAGAAGCACACACACACACACCCATTCTGGCCCTCCTGCCGGACACCAGTTGCCTTCCCATGCAGGCAGGCTTAATCTCCACCCCACGGGCCTGGGGAATTCTGGGAGTTGAAGTCCACAAGTCTTAAAGTGGTTTGGAGACCTCTGCTTTGCGTTAACAAAACAAGCATTGGCGAATATGACACCCCCAAAACATCCCTCTGCCAGCCTGCCCCCTCCCTTCCCTTACAGTCCTCCCCAGTGCCATCTGCGCCCCACTTACTTCTCCAGGAGGGACATGATGATGGGAGGCAGAACCAGGATCGGCATCGGCAGGACCACTCTGGTGAGCGCCGTCTCCAGCAGGGCCTGGGGAGACACGGTGGGTGACCACTTCAGATGTGCCGCTTGCCCTCCTGCCAGAAAGAGCGGGGCTCCGCGTGGCGTGGGGGACACGGCCTCTCTCTCTCTCTCTCTCACCCGCCACAAGGAAGAGCCCCACGGGGGTTAGGGCTGGGTCAGTCTCACCCCCCCACGGATCGTGTCTTCCACGGAGGCAGGACGGAACGGCGGAGTCCCCGCTCTGAAGGGCCCTGGCAGGTTGCAGCTGAAGGAACAACTTGGGAGGGCACAAGGTGGAGCATCCCGAGAATGTTGTGGTTGCGCAGATGGGCCCTTCCTAAGGCTGTGCCCACCCTGGTGCCCTGGGCATGCCTTGCTGGGCACCTCCTTGCCTGATGGGACAAGGGCTGAAAGGGCGAGCCATTGCTCTTAATGCCCAGCCCTGCGAGTTTACAAAGGTGCCCTCGAAGTGCCCATCCACATTCTGAGCAGCTTGGTCCACAACCTGTTGTCGTGCCCCTGTTGGGAGTCTGAATCCAAGGAGGAAGATGAACAGCTGACAGGGAGTGGGAATGTGGCTCCGTTGGCTGTGGAGGAAACTGGGGAAGGGCAAAGTCCAGCTGGCAGAGCAGGGAAGAGGTAGAACAGGGGGGGACCCAGGCCCACCGCCTCTTCATCCTAGGGCACGCAGGGAGGAATGGAGAAGAGAGCGATGTGGGTTGGGTGGCTTACGGGGGAGGAAAGGGCCCTGATTCCCTTCATCAGCCACAGCTGGGAGGAGAGTTTAAAAGAAATGCATGCTGAGTGTGGCAGCTGCTGGGAGCAAACGTGAGTTTATCTTGTGTTGACTTTGCTATCTGTGCTCCTGGCATCTTCCCAACCATGTTGAGTTATTGCCATGCCTTCACATCTGGAATTCTTACTCATGCCCTGCTGGACTAATCACCTCATTTTGCCTTGATTGGACTTATAGTTACAGTTTTTGTTTCTCTGCAAGCCAAAAGCTGTTCCTTTGTAACCAGGACATCGGGGGCAAAGTTGGAGCTAATACAGGGACCCCTACTGATCATCTGACTGTGTTGCCTTTGTGCCACACCCCTTTGGGTCATCACAGAACCCTTCTGGGCTGCCACGGGAGGCAATTTGTGGGCTGCCACGGAACTTGGGCCTGTGGATCATCTGCCTGCCCTTGTGGGTTTGCCGAGGCTCAGTGAAGGGACCCCAGTCTCCTGCACCTGCCCCCCCTCCCTGCTCTTTCCAAAGTGCCCCCCACCCTCCACATCCCGGAGGAGGCAGCAGCTCAGTGGGCGCAAAGTGTGACTGCAGCAGAGCAAACTGAGATCTTCTGGTGGGGAGTACGGAGGGTGTGTGTGTCCAAAATAAAAAAGCAGTAGAAAAATGTTTTGACCGAGGGGGCTGCAGGGGGCAGGCATGACCCTGCCCCGGAGACTCTTAACTTCCCAAAGGCTGGTGGTCTCCGGCCCACAGGGGCCCTGCCAGCTGAACAGGTGCGAAACACAAGAGTGACACAACTGTGCCCATCAGGGACGCAATACGTTGTGTGGGGGTTTTGTGTAGGTTATCTTGGCAAAGAGCTACTCATAAGCAGAAAGGCCCGGGGTGTTTGCAGATGGCAGGGCTGAACCGGGGGTGGTGGTGGGGGGGGGAGCAGGCAGGTGTGGGTGGGAGCCAGGAAACATCTGGAAGCATCTTCCCACAGACGCAGCTGGCGATTGCTAATTAATTCCAGGCAGGGAAGTTAGAAACCCTCCTGCCTCCTGCCGTTTTTGCCACCCCACAACCGGGCACTGGACCCTTCCCTTTCAGGGGGAGGGGGGGGAACTGTGGAGGGGAGGGGGGAAAAAGGTTTCCTGCTCTCACGGACCCCAGAAACACCAGATCCTTTCTCACCCCTCTGCTGGCAAGGCTTAAGACACCCTGGGTGTGGGGGACTCCTACAAATGCTTGACTACCAGAGGAATGCCCTCCCCCTGCCCCCCATGGCCCACCTCTGCCAGCAGGAGAAATTCCCAGAGGGGCAAAGGAGACGGGCGTCCTTCACTCCCAGAGCAGCGGAGATAAGACCCCCTGCAAAGGGGAAGGGGCTGTCTGGGCAAAGCTTGAGGGAGAGGGCTGGCGGCACAATGACAAAGAGGGCCTCTGCAGGCCCACCCTGTGCCTGACCCTAGTGGGACCCTCAAAACCCCCCATCCCTGGCAAAAAAAATGCCAGCTGGGACCCCCCCGGGAACCACATACATGTCTGGCAGCGATCCGGGACGATCCAACGACGTTCCCTTCCCCATCCAGGACGTCGATCCCTTCCTCCAGTTCTGTGTGTCTCATCAGGACCACGTTGCAAATGTTGGCACTTGCTGGGGTTGGTTGGGGGAGGGAGGGAGGGAAGAGCTGAAAAGCCGTGCTGGAAGGAGAGCCCACCCCTCACGAGATGGGGGAAAGCCCCCTGTCCCTACTGTTCCCCCAATCCCACAGAAGGTAGTTAGAACTCGAACCCTGGGCTCTCCGATCCCCCCCCCTCCCCCGTGGACCTGGCGGGAGAGGGCAGAGGGTCTCACCTACGGCAGGAAATGGCACGAATCTCTGGATCAGGATCCGGGTGGCTGGCGTGAAGTGGTTGGCTCGCTGGATGAGAATGTTAAGGCCCACCTGCAGGGGAAGCGAGGCGAGGGAGGTCAGGGGGCTGAGCCCCTCCCATGCTGGGTGTCCAAGGGAGGGATTCCTCCCACTTCTGCCCTCCCCCAATTCCCTCTGCTCAATGCTCATCAACTGAAGGTAAAACCCTTCCTGGAGAGCCTTATAGCTCCCGCTGCCTTAAGAAAGTTCAAAACATTCTCAAAGATCCATCTCATCCTGGGCACCCCCTTTTTTTTTTTTGAACTATTACCATCTGGCAGACGGTACAGGATAATAAAAACAAGGGCAAATAGGCTGAAAAACAGCTCCTATCCCAGGGCAGTAACTCTACTGTAATTCTACTGTGGTGCAGTGGTTAGAGTGCAGTACTGCAAGCTACTCCTGCTGCAGCCCAGCTGCCTACAATTTGGCAGTTCGAATCCCACCGGGCTCCAGGTTGACTCAGCCTTCCCTCCTTCCGAGGTGGGTAAAATGAGGACCCAGATTGTTGGGGGCAAGAGGCTGACTGACTCTGTAAACGGCTTAGGGAGGGCTGTAAAGCACTATAAAGCGGTATGTAAGTCTAAGCGCTATCGCTATAGTGCAATATCAATGCGCTATAGGGGTTTTCAATTCCATTGCATAGAATGCGAAGGGTCTGTGTTTGTGTTTGTTTTCATAGTCATGATGTACACGGAAGATTGTATTTAAATTTCGTGGTATGAAGTGCAATGACAATAAAGTATCATGTGGCAGGCCCGTGAGAGCAAAACTGGGGTCTCACTGAAGCCCCTTCCCCCAAAACCCTGAAGAAGAGCAAAAGGCTCTTCTGGCCTCTTATCGCCTCACCCGGTTCCAACAGGAGACAACCTGTCTCCAAACCGACAATCACAAAAGCGTGGCGAGGGGAAACCACAACACTCCTATCCTCCACGTTGGCATCTGCTCTTTCCAAAGAAGCCCCCTGGCCCTGTCGGATTAGGGGGGGCACAGCGGTCAAGCAAGCGAGGAACCTTTAATTCTACCCCTTGCAAGGTCAGGGGCAAAGTCCATCGTCCCCTTCCATTTCCCGAGGAGAAGGTTAATGGCTTCCACCAGAGAGAGAAGGGCAGGAGGCAGCCGAGACCGGAGGCTGCTGCTCCTTGCAGCCAAAGCCGACTTCAAGGCCTCGGCACGGTGTTAAGTGGTCAGCGGAGACGGGGCCGGTGGGGGTCCTTCTGTCCACGGGAGATGCCGGTGGGGGATTCGCAGACTATCAACGCCATCGGCGGTGGCTCCTGGCAGACAATTATCAAGGTGAGCCGAAGGACGGAGGGGGGCAACCGTCACCAGAGAAGTGGTGTTGCTGAGAGGCGGGGCAGGGCAGGTGACCGGCGGGGAGGAGGGAAAATGAGAAGCGGGGCAGGAGAGCTGGACCAAGGAGCCAGGACCCTGGGACAGAAGAGGGGTCAGCTTGGCAGCATCTCACGGGTCGGTCTACCGCAGGGGTAGGCAAGGAGGCCAACTTGATGACAACTGTGGACTTCAACTCCCAGAATTCCTAAGCCAGCTGTGTCCCCCCGCATATCCAAGACTGAGCCTGCTCATTGGCTGAAACTGGGGAGATGGGAGGGACTCTCTTGGGGGGGGGGCTCCACCTCTATGGGGCAGCACAAGACCTTGGCCTGGTGAAGCACTTCCTCCCCACAGATCCAGGGTGCCCGGACCCCCTCTTGCCACTCCCATTCCAGCCCTGTGGGGACCCTCACTCCACAGGCTTTGGGTGGGGGATCTTCTTGCTGCCAGA